TGACTGGCTTATCTTGTGGGTAGTCTTCCCCAATCGGAATCCTTGTGACAGGATGCCGATTGTTTAAAAATAATAACCAATAATTTACACAATGATGTAAGTTTGTGATCGTTGAACGACCTTTGATAAATCCATGCTATTGGGGGGGGGATGATTTTCTTAAAGAAAAAGCTCAGACGTACCTTCCAAAATATCGGACGATAATTATTGCAATCAGGTTTATTTGCTTTCTTGAATATAAGAGTAACCAAGGCCCATTTCTAGGATGAATGGAGAGAACCTTGATTAAAAGGAGCATTCATTATGAGAGATAGATGGTTTACTACAGGATTTGCACATTGTTTGAGGAAAAATGGGGTGAGTCCGTCTAAGGGTGATGAATTATTACATATTGTTTAATTGCATACAGTGTGAAAGATATATTATCAGCAGTTTTAGACAAACGTGGGAACATTATTTAAGGAATAGTATCGTTAGGTTCATCTTAAAAAAACCTGAGAAAAGAATAACGATAAACATTTTAAAGATTCGTTAAAACACGATAAAAGAGGCCTATGTTTACCAGTGCAGTATCGAGGCGGGATGATAATTAATAGTAGATTTACGTTTATCGTATATACAGCAGTTACTGCTTTCGATATATCCCATAATAATTGTGATCTATAAACAAATAGTCGTAGTTGTTAATCTAGTAGCAATTATTTATGTGAATCTTCCTTTTATAACGAATTTTTATTTTAACCTTGTTCAAAATATACTATTTTTAAGTCTCTTTACGTTGATTTTTATACCGGTTCTTGATATTAAAGATTTTCATACTTGACTTTTGTAATCTGTATTTATTATTATATAAATCTTAAAAATAACAATACATTTTGGTTTTTTTCCTATTTTAATTTATTTTTTATGTAAATATTATAAGAACTAATCCAACTCTGTAGTATTTAAATAAATAAACAATACGGATGTGTTTAACTATAAAATAATTTACAGTATTTACATACACATTATACAATTATGACTAAAAGTTATCTTAGCGTACTGTATCTTTTAGAAAGTTGCTTTTAAGGTGAGTTTTATCGTCTGCTAGGAAGTATTCACTGTTGATTAAAACAATCAAAGTAGTTAGAGTCAACAATAGATACTGGAAAAATTACCAATTAGATATGGAAAGTACACGAAAAACAAATTAATTGGTATAATGTCAGAATATAGAATTTACCGTTTAAATATTAAATGCATTGTGAAATAACTTCGTGCAGCTTCTACATATTCTGCTTACTGTATGTTGTGTTCTATTGCTTTTAATTATATGCATTTTACATTTATTATTTATTTAATAATATTAAAGTGTTATTTAATTAAATTAATTACAATATTATACATAAAAAATGACGTTACAGCAGAGATGCAAGAAACTGAGACATATCGTAACCTTAGAAGAAGACAGTCATACATCAAAATGGGACAATTTTCAGAAATAGTTATTTAAAAAATTGATTGATATAAGGTTGAATTCCCGAATAAATAAACTTTGAAAATGAAAGGCAAATATCGAGCACAATTTTAACAATTAAATCTTGCCCAAGTACTTTCGCTTAATATAGCATCTTTAGGGGCATTTCGTCAAGTTAGGGCTATCCAGCAAGCGTAGAATGTGATAAACATAAATTCTAACATAAAATTGTACAAAACACTACACTAAAACAAGGACAAACGGTTTAAAATTAATTAAAATTGTTCTACGCTCTACATTCTTTGTCAGTAACCCAAAGTAATGGTCTCCACCATTCTCTCTCAACTTATTCGACTGCTTTTATACATGAAGTCCCCCTGTTGTACCTAGGGATATGCATTTTGTTGTACCTGGGGCCGTCCCCAGGTGCATTATTAAAAGTATTAGTACCAAACAATGTTTTGTTTCAGGAGCTCATTATGTCAAGAAGTAAAGAAAAGAAGAGAAGATCGGGGCCGTTAAAAGTCAATGTAGAGAATACTGTTCGTGAAGTTTGAAATTCAAATCTTTATTAGCAAGACACATTAAAAATTTTAAAACATCAGGTCAAAACAATTTTATATACAGTCCGAATTATAAAGTCAAGCAAGCTTTAAGTCTTTCTACAATAATGCAATGACTAATTCGATAAGTTCTCCTGGTAACGCAGGGAAACCAGTTTCCATTTAAGATGTAGCAGAGTTTTTTAAAAACGGCATACATGAAGGCATTTAGTCCAAACAATATAAATAACTGCTTTCAAGTATCATGTCTATACCCCTTAAATATATTTTTCTACTCTCTTACTAGTAAATTGTTTATTACCTACTATTTGGATGCTAAGTAAATGCATCATAACAGATACTGACACGTAATGACTAGCACGTAATAAAAAAATTACGCTTCAGTTTTATAAAAATGTGTAATATCACATAAGCCTCGTAAGTCAGTTGGTCGAGTTACCATGGAAACGAATTAACAGACGTTATTTTGACAGATTAAAAATTATTAATCTGTCAGTGTAAATATAGTGGTAATTTAATTTTTATTTTTATAAACGAAAATAATCGTAGAAAAAGTATAGTACACAACTTGAGTTGTAAGCTCATTACATGCTTGTAAAATTACTGCGCTCGCCGCTACGCGGCTCGCGCGCAACTTTTTTACTCGCATGTAATAAGCTTTTTACAACTCTCGTTATGTAATATACTATTTTCTACTCTCTTACTAGTAAATTGTATATTACCTACTATTTGGATGCTAAGTAAATGCATCATAACAGATACTGACACGTAATGACTCGCAGGTAATAAAAAAAATTACGCTTCAGTTTTATAAAAATGTGTAATATCACATAAGCCTCGTAAGTCAGTTGGTCGAGTTACCATGGAAACGAATTAACAGACGTTATTTTGACAGATTAAAAATTTATTAATCTGTCAGTGTAAATATAGTGGTAATTTCATTTTTCTTTTTATAAACGAAAATAATCGTAGAAAAAGTATAGTACACAACTTGAGTTGTAAGCTTATTACATGCTTGTAAAATTACTGCACTCGCCGCTACGCGGCTTGCGCGCAACTTTTTTACTCGCGATGTAATAAGCTTCTTAGAACTCTCGTTATGTAATATACTATTACTGTTCAATAAAAAATATTTTTACTGAACAAGACTTTTTGCAAGACCATCTAACATAACCGATCGAGAGGATCCATATTTACACAACCCTTTATCAATCCTCCCTGTTTATTCTGACCCCGATCCACCACATTGTGATGCTTCTGAAACAGACCCTAAGCCTTCATGTTCTGGTTTAACGTCATCTTTCACACCAAAAGCTAAGTTGGATTTTCAAGAACCAATTCCTGTTATGTCAAGTTTTATTTCACCATATGAGGTTCGTCCCATTCCAAAAGCTTTGTCGCGCAAAGGGAACGTTTCTAAGGGATGCAAAAAAGGAAGGTCTCGCATTCGACACCCCAAAATTTAATGAAATAAAAGAAAGTGAGAAAGACAGTATGGAAAATAAGCGCAAAAAGAAGCTGCAAAAAACAAAAAACGTAAAACGTAAGTTAGATATTAAAGAAACGTCATCAGAGGAAGGTCAAATTGATTTTGCGATTAGAAGTGACAGCAGTAATTGTAATAATAATTCTTTGTCAGATTTAAAAATTGATTCCATTCAATTTACTCCAGATGATCTTCAGAAAGGTGATTTCATTTTCGTGCACTTAAAAAAGAAAAGCATTCAGGATATTTTGTAGCCTCAATATTATTAAAGGTGTACGAAACAGAGTTCCAAATAAAATATATAAACAAAGCTCATTCCTTTGCACATGGCTATACATTTACGGTTGAAGATTAAGCTATCCTCGATAATCCTAACGGTAAAATTCAGTGAGTATCTATTTCAAAATATCTTTCTTTACGAAAACAAAATCCATTCACGAAGAATATTTTAAACGTCATCTGGTACTAAATTTTATATTTTTACCTACTTACACACCCTATTGTGAAGTCTTGGGTGTATACAATAAAGCGAGCGGGAGGTCTTCTATTCATTGCGATTATGGGGTAATTAGAATAATACGAGTATACCAGAATAATATTATTTATTGAATAATTAATTTACATTTTAGCAAGGGTACATACAGGTAACAAATAATCGTCCTGTAAATAATTCATAACAATTAAATCGAAGACAAACTTTTATAAAATTTTATAACAAAATAATGTATAACAAGATATAAGTGTATTGGTTTTATACACACAGGTAAGGAATATACAACTAACATCAGCGATATTATACACAAGCTTCCTCAACCACGTACAGCAGGTTTATCCTCTCGACAGTCAAACACATTTATCTTTCCAACATCTTTTGATAACATTAATTTAGGGTAGTCTGTGTATTATCAGCAGTTTATATTTTCAATAAAATTTTCACGAATATAAGTTTTACACATTAAGTTTGCTTGTACAGGTACTTTAACTCGTGTCCCTAGGTACAACTTTTCGTGTCCGTAGGTACAACAGACCAGTTGTTCCTAGGGACACGTACATACATACAAAAAAGGTATGACAAACTGTCCAGATTTTATTTTTTAATATCTTTATTTGTCTAATTTATAAAAATCAAATTGTCAAAATTGTCCCTAGGTACAATATGTTCCCCGAGAGTGTAATGAACCACATTTTTTGACAGGAAATTAAAAATTTAAAAATATTGCTTAAAAGCAACACTGGATTAACATAAAACGCTTCAAAAATGTATTCGCAAGCTTTCAAACCATCACTTTACCGAATCCTTCAAGATTCATAAGTTACAGTTAAATGCAAACACGCATTATCTAACGAATTACGTGCCATAGCATCCGCGAACGTATATCTTCGCGACTCTCCTTCGCGGCGTCCCCTCGCCCTCCCATAGGCCCCCCTTAAAGGACATCCTTTCACTATTCTTCAGCAATCTTCAAGATGCATCTTCTTCGTTCCATGGGAGTTTAGTCGAGCTTTGACTTACCACGATGAAGGGTGCTAGTGTTTTGTTTTTCTTAGGTGAGTTCAGTGAAACCGCATCCCCTACAAAGGATTTTATGCCGTGGAGCTTTTGGATTAATTGCGATGAAATGTTTTTGGTGATATTACTTTGACTTGATTTTCTAATAATATCAATTAAGAAATGTTTATTATAGTAAAAATTATTTATTGGTGAATGAAAAATTCACTTAATATAATAAAGTGTACTAGTTACCATAAATAGAAATCAATAAATATTAGTTACACACATTTTTCTAAAATATCACAATAAAATAAAATTTATAAAAGAGTAATTAATAACATAACTTTTCGTTAATTTTTCCCTTACTTTCTTTACTTATTTTTATTATCTTTGCTTATGATTTTCATTTACGTTTTTTTTTATATGCATGAAAGCAATGATATAAAAAATGTATCCATACTATTTGGACCTAAAATTGATGTGATAATATTTTTGTTAAAAAAATTAATATTTTTTGCATTTAAAAATTGTTTCTTTTTCAAACCAATAATGCTGCTTAGAACTGATCCTATGTCTCGTAGGCTACGGTACTTCTTTGTTTCTAATTCCATACTTTCTATCTTTGCAATCATAACCCTTGTAAGTATCTTATATTTGAATTGCATTACAATTTTTCTCAGATTATAGTTTTGTTCTTAAAACACACTACACATATGCTATTGACCTATACTATTTCTTCGCTATAAGTTTTTTATTGACCTATATATTCTTTGGATATCTTATGAATAATAAATTAAGCAAATTTGCAATTTTTCTGTATTTTAGATTCTTGTAATTAGTTTACAGCATTCATTTTGGTCCATTTTTTTAAGTTGCTTGATTTAGCATTGTTTTAACATGCATAATTATTAAATAATAATGTAAGTACTAAGAGCCTAGTAGGCCATGGCTTGATGTACTATTCTTTTCCAATCCCTTGTGCAGATGCTTTTCTTTTCCAGTTCGTTAAGTCTTTTGATGTCTTCTTTGACTTCGTTGCTCTATCTTGACCTCGGTCTTCTTCTTCGCCTTTTACCTGCCAATTAGAACTAGATAGTACCATTCTGGAAATTCTATATGGAACCATTCTTTGCACATTGCCCAACCATCTAAGCTTTGCCTTAATACGCAATATTTGCCTTGATAATCCGTAGCTCGTTATTTGTTCTTCATATCCATTATCACATTTAAGTTTTTCCCACCACAGATTTTGCGCAGTATTTTCCTTTCCCAGTCTTATAACAACTCTTGGTGTTTTTTGTCGTGATCCATGAATCTGCAGTCTACGTCACTATCGGCCTTATTACGGTCTTGTATGTCCTTAGTTTGGCTCTTCAAGATATATTTTTGCTTTTTAACAACCCATTCAGAGCATATAGAGTAGGTTTCCTATATAATTCTTTTCTCTATTTCTTCTTCACAGTGAGGTTCTCTTGTAAAGACATTTTCCAAGTACTTAAATCTTTCAACTTCTTCGAATTTATATTGTATTCCCTTTGCTCTTGTTATTGTATGTGATGCCTTCGAACAAATTGCGTATTTGTCATAAATATACTTCGCTTTTTCCTCATTTATATACAATTCTTTGGTTGCTGCCCACTCTTCGAGTTTCATGACTGTTTTCATCAGCTCTATTTTGCTTCTAGCCAAGATTACCAAATCGTCCGCAAATGCTAAGCACTGATGTTTTCTGTGGTAGATCAGAGCTGTTCTATCAATGTTTGCTTCCTGGATAACCTTTACTAATACTATGCTAAACATTATAGATGATAAAGGATCGCCCTGCCACACTCCTTCTTTGACCTCAAAGCTTTCTGTTATATTATTGTTCAACTTGACTTTTTTACTGTCCTTTGGAGAGTTGATTTTATCTTTCTAATAAGCTTTAGACAATATCCATATTTTGCAGTGCTCTAATTTGATATTTGATATTTTTCTGACTCAATCGAAAGCCTATTAAAATAAATTAAAAGAACCATTGTGTCTTTATTGTATTTGTAACTCTCATCCTGTATTTTCCGGTATTGTGATAGATCACTACTTCTGCCTTTTCTGAACCTACACTAATATTCTCCTATGTTTTTATCAACCTTTTAAACTGCATACTTCCACTGCTAGACATAGATCTTCCTTAGCTCTTTCCATCAGTTGCTATCTTGTGCGGCTTGCATCCAATTATTGCTAACACGCTTCAGGGCGTCCTCTACTCTGTAGTACTTTAGTATCTATTAGCAGCCATCGTAACATGCATAGCCAATATTTTATATGTTATGTTAAGCAGCGCTTTGCCTCAATAATTCTGACAATTAGCCATATTTCCTTTTTTGTGAATAAGACATAATATTGCTTCTGTTCATTCCTCATATAGTATTTTTGTTCCCATATACCTTTAATTTATTTCTGGATTTTATCTGATAACTGATGTCCCCCAATATTATCCTCCTGGAAATATTTGCTACTTCTTTAATTACATATCTCAATGTTTCCCATATACATTCTACATTCCTTTCATCCACCATGCTCTTTAATTTGTTGTTAATAATTTGTCGATGCAACGGTTTCCCAATTTTTGTCTGTATTCTCATCGCCTGTTTCTTCGTATTTAAATTTCTTTTTGTTAAAGAGTTGACACTAATTGATTAATCCATATTCCAACCAAATAGTGGTCTGAATCCATATCCGATTCTCTATATGTGCTTACCTTTTTTATGCAGTTTTCTTCGTTTTTCTCAATTAAAACATGGTCAATCTGCTTGACTGTACGGCCTCCCAGAGATCTCAATGTCTCCTTATAATTATACTTTTCTTTAATAAAATTTTCCAGAAAATATCCATTTTGCTGGTCTCTGCATGTAAACTGAGCTTGTCTATAGAGGATATTATTATTTCTTTTCTGCCTATTTAGGCATTAGTGTCTCGTGGAATAATCTTTATATCATAATTGTGTATAGCCTTATATCATCATCATTAGCAGCTATTCCATCCATCGCCGGATTTGAGCCTCCCTTAGGTGTGTCCATGCTTCATATGCTTTATCTAATTTCCTTTTCCTCCGAGGGTGCATGTATGTTCACAAATATTATCTTTTGGTATTTACCCTTTTGTTTGAGGGCGCGCATTTAAAACAAATTCTTTTAATTTTTTAAAAAGTGAAACTGGAACAACCATGAAGTGGAGATATCCAGGAGTGGCTAGTATGCCTGTTGAATACAAAGCACGTGGTGTTCGTGTGTATTAAGGTATAAAAAAAGCGCTTATTAAAAGCTTAAAATTTTTATTTTAAAGAAGATCTTTTCGGAATTGTATCATTCCATCATCAGTTTAATAAAAAGTTGTTGAAAAAAACATTGTATGGCCAGATAAAAACATTGGAGGACATCCGGATTTAAAAAGTAATCTTCATGGTAATTATTAAGGTAAATGCAATAGACTCTTAAATTGTATATTAATAAAAATGAAAATGGGGGCATCTTATATGACCCCCTGTAGCTGTGAGGTTTTATCGACTTACATTACCTCTGATCTATGTTGGAGTCTAGGGCTAACTGATGCATCATCGCAGTTACTAAAACTAAATTGCTAGTATTATCGTATGCTAGTAAATTGTTAGTATACAGTTTAAAGCAAGTTGGTTTGTGCGCAAAGACTTTTGGTATATGTCAAATATCCCCTTTACATGCAGCTCACTATCGCGGAAGTGAGCAGGGAATTAACAGGGAAGTTAGCTTGTAAAGACGTCACTCGCGCTGTCATTACTCATGCTATTGCCGTTGTCGTAGACTCCCATCTTTGGCGGTTTTTTTAACGGAAATCCAAGAATTTTCAGTGCGAGTGACAGTAACTGTTTACATGCTGCTCGCTTTCTTGTCGGTGCACGGACTTATTTGTTTATTGTTTGGTAAATTTTTCATTCATTATGATTAAGTAGAGCAATGACCAAGTGCTGTAGGTTTTTGGAGCTATTTGCTAGTGAGAGATTACTCTCTTTCTAGCAAATAGCTCTAAAAACTACACTATCTTAGAAGATACTTTAAATTAATAATGCAAACTTGAGTAACTTTTCCCAGTGGTTATGGTGGTGGTACTGGAATTGTTACTTTAGTCTTTTTGTTATCATAAACTTAATTTTCTGAAGCCAACACTCAAAATCTATGCGTGATATTCTGCGAAAGTTAAAAAATTCTTCGCGTTCCTCAAAAGTCAGTTAAATGACAAATTTTGTCATATTTTCTCAGTAAAAAAATGTTTGACACCATTTTCAGATTATTATCCATTAAAAACTTTTCCACATCAACGTTTTTTTCTACTGCATTTGCTTTTAAAACTCCACAAGAAATCTACGTTCCTGTAGTTGGCTGTATAACTATATATTAAAAAATTTATTAAAAATCCTTTGTAAAAGGTATATATTAAGAACCCAAATGGGCTAAGTTAAACAGACAAAATAAAGGTAATATATAACCTTTTACAAAGGATTTTTAATATATTTTTTTAAAACGTTAAGTTAATTTTGTAAACTTAAAAGACACAATTACTGCAGCTGTTGTCGCAGTAATTTTTATGTCCTGCAATGCTGATAGTACACTGATGCAGCACTGTGGTAGCTGTATGTAAACAGTCATTTGCCTTAAATACTGCCGTGTAATTATTTTAAAAAGGACAGTGGACAACGCTTGATAACATACGGATGTGAAACGTGGACCATGAACAAAGCAAACGAAGAAAAGCTCAGACGCTTTGAACGAAAAAATACTTAGGAACATTTCGGACCTCACCATGGCATCACCACAAACCAGTGAATTAAAAGCACTTTACAATGATGTCGATATTGTCTAAGAAATTAAATCACAGCGACTAAGATGGGCAGATCACGTGCACAGACTGCATAACGAGAGACTTGTAAAACTGGTATGGGAGGAGATTCCCACAGGCAAAAAAACCACTCGGCCGTGCCAGAATGCGATGGAGAGATAACATCCAAGAAAATCTCCGGAAAATGAACATTCCATTTGACTCT